ACAAAAGACTCAAGGAAAGCCCTCCTCTGCCACAGCCCAACTGTGGCTGTTCATATCCTCCCCCCACACACAGGCAGCTTGAGGGGGCACATCACCAACAAACAGCATTTATAAATGGTTGATTAACCTTCATTTCTACTGCCTAGTAATTATTTGAGGGAAATCTTTGATGTCAATGGCTCATACACGCATTCAATTTGTGGGAGATTTCCTGTGTTAATATGTGGCGAATATGTGATCTCAACTTTGTTAAGGACTATCCATCTATAAACATCTAGTATTTGCATGTTAAAAAAAAAAAAAAAAGAAATGAACCCTTAGAATAGTTTTCAGGCCTTCTTGGGTTGCTTCAGAGAAACCTCATGGGCCATTGAACTGCTCAGCCCTATGTCAGGTATTAGCCGGCTCCAGGCCATCTTTTTAACTTGGAGAAGGCTCCAGGGTGTTTTTTCTCCTTAATAGCTCTCACACTCACTTTATTCCTTGGTGTCATTTTGTAGTTTCCTAGTGTAGAGTGGGATAATGGTTCCCAACTTCTCACCTCTTTGCTATTCTTAAAGATATCCTTTTCATGTAAAGTGTTTAACTTTGGGTGCCTGGGAGGCTCAGTTCGTTAAACTTGATTTCTACTCAGGTCACAATCTCAGGGTCTTGAGATGGAGCCCCAGGTCAGGCTCCATGCTCAGTGGGGAGTCTGCTTGAGGATTCCTTCCCTCTGCCCCTTCCCCCTGTGTGTGTGTGTACACTCTCAACATAAATACATAAATCTTAAAAAAATTTTTAACTTCTTATCACTGTAGAAAAACGTGTAACAAACACAAGCAAGTTACAAAGCATGTGACTATTTTACTGTAGTAGTCCCTATAAAGCTTCCTGACTTCTCTCTGAGATGGGCTGCTTTAGTTGAGGGCAGTGGTGAGCCAGACACATTCCATGGAGAGTCAAGGCTATGAAGACCTTTCTTTTTTTTTAAAGATTTTACTTATTTGAGAGAGAGAGAGAGAGAGAGTGAGCACACAAGCAGAGGGAGAGGGAGAAGCACGCTCAAAGCTGATCAGGGAGCCCAATGGAGGGCTTGATCCCAGGACTCTGGTATCATGACCTGAGTGGAAGGCAGACGCTAAACCGACTCAGCCACCCAGGCGCCTGTATGAAGACCTTCATATAGGCCTATTTTCTGAATTTAATAGTCAGCTAGTATACAGTCAATATAGAGCAATAAGGGGCTCTTTATTTATCTTTGGGCCCCCCACCCTGAGAAACACTAGGTTTAAACTAGGCTTTCTTGTTCCTTGGGATTTATTACTTTGGGGCATATCCTCCTTAGCTAAGTTTCTGCCCTGTCCACTATCAGGGTGTTTTCTCTCAGTGTCTAGTGTTCATACTGCCATTCACTCTTTAAGCAAAGTTCATGGTTAAGTTTGTACTGGAGGAGGAGCAAGATGGTGGAGGAGTAGGACACCTGGATTTTGTTTGGTCCCAGGAATAAAGCTGGATAGGGATCAAACCATTCTGAACACCTACAAACTCAACAGGAGATCGAAGAAAAGAATAGCAACAACTCTTTGAACAGAAAAGTGACCACTTTCTGGAAGGTGAGGAGCTCAGAGAGGTGAAGCAATGGTCACACCTGCTTCTTCCATTGGACATGATCCTGGCACTTTGGTCCCAGACACAATTACCATGGAGTTCCATTAAACCCAAAATAATAAAACCCTGAACTGAAAAAAAAAAAAGTTTGTACCTAGTTGGAGGGACTTGTACCTAGTTGGAAGGGCTTGTACAGCTTGTACCTAGTTGGAAGGACTTTACCTGTTAGAGATTACATTCCCTGTGTTTGACTCTCAACCCCACCTCCCTCCCTGGATCTCCTGTTCCCCGTCTAATGCCGTTATAGTCTTGGGATTTGTCACTTTGGTGGAGTTCTCTAAAACCTATGAGTTCTAGTAGGGCTGGGTTTAAGGACCTTTTGTAAAAGAAAGGACAGACCCTGAATGGAGATGGAGATTCTGAACTTGTGGGCTTGTAGCTTTTGCCAAAGTTCAGGCAAGTGAGGTCTGTGGCCTAGGTAAAAATCTTAGGCAGGTTAACTACCTCTCTAAGCTTTAATGTGGTCTTTTTTTTTTTTTTTTAATGTGGTCATTTTTAACATGAGAATAACAACATCTTTCTTTTGAGGTTATTGCAAAAAAAGAATGAAATAGCTGTTGCGAAGTGTTTCCTTCTACCATAAGAACTCAGTGGTTGCTCATGGCTGCAGTTGCTGCTGTTCCTATTTTATTGCCGTTGCTGCAAAAGAGCGGCATGGGTTCAGGGCCTGAGCTTTGAATCCTATCTCTACCACTCTCCATTTGTATGACCTTGGACAAATTATTTAACTACTCTTTGCCTCAGTTTTTTTCACCTGTTAAGTGAGAACATTATTAATGCGGGAGTTGTGAAGATACAATGAGTTAAATCATATAAGGAGCTTAGAGCAGAATCTGGTATGAAGTAAGTGATTGTAGTAAGGCTGTTATTTAACTGAAGTACCCTCTTTGCCTCTGGTTTTGGCTTTGGATATGTATAGTGACCTAAAACCTTCCAGGCTGTCATTTTAACCTTTATTTGTCAAAACACCTAGGAGTCTGTGTTCTTAATTCTCCACTGATGTCACTTTTCTGGTTTTGTTGTCATGCCAGCTTTAGAAGCCTGTTGTGACTGCTTCAGGGCAGATACCCAGTTGGTCCTTCTACTGGGTGCTGACACACCTACAGGTCAGACTTGAAAAGACATAGGAGCCAGTAAAGAAAGATCTCTAAAGAAAAATATATTTAATATATGTGTGTAAAGAAATTCTTTTATTTTATTATTTTTTAAAGATGGTATTTATTTATTTAACAGAGAGACAGCGAGAGAGGGAACACAAGCAGGGGGAGTGGGAGAGAAGAGAAGCAGGCTCCCCGCTGAGCAGGGACCCCGACGCGGGGCTCAATCCCAGGACCCTAGGATCATGACCTATGAGCTGAAGGCAGACGCTTAACCGACTGAACCACCCAGGCACCCCAGAGAAATTACTTTAAAATTATCTTGGGCATCCAGAACTTGCACTTTCTGAACTCAAATGTAAAATCTGTAGAAAAAATATTAGGTTACATTTATTTGGCTTTGTTAAGTAAAGTTTAGTAATCCAGTATTGATATTAATAGTAGAGTTTCAGTAAGATCCGAAGAGATTGATTTTTTGTATGGTAACTAAATAAGGAGAAGTAGAAGAAGATTTGAAAAGGAGTTAATTCTTAATTTTTAATGCAGTTATTATTTTGCTATAGTAATTAATATGCCCAGTTAGTGGGGTAATAATGCTTGTAGTGAGGTTTGGCAGGATGGGTGCACTTCAACAAGAGAAGATGGGTGTTCTTCAAACCTTGGAGGCCCAGAATTTATTAGCAGTGTATCAGGGACTGGGGGGGCCGGGTAGGAGGAAGAAAGAGTGGGAATTTTCTGAACTGGACAGGTGAATTGCCAGGGTAGAAGATCCCCTGCTTACACATATCTCAACACCCACACATCTAGAGAGGTTTTGATTACAAAGTTTTGTATTTTGATTTTTTTCACATAAGATTATAAAAGATACTCTTTATTTCTTATTATTTAAAAAAAGATTTAAAAGCATCTGTGCTTTTAGAAAGCAAACTTTTAGGGCAGAACCATAGTTTCCCTAGTGCCTAACACTAGAGAAAGTGATTAAATGCTCTGCAGAGTTAACCTTTACTGTATTCATTTTTAGTCTTATTCTCAAACTTGATTTTATTAGTTTGGCTATGTGATTATACCCTATTAAGTGGATTAAAATCGGTATGTTTTATTTGCCCATACTGCAGGAAGTTAAGTTCTTAAGGATTGGGGCGCCTGGGTGGCTCAGTTGTTAAAGCATCTGCCTTCGGCTCAGGTCATGATCCCAGCGTCCTGGAATCGAGCCCCGTGTCGGGCTCCCTGCTCCACGGGGAGCCTGTTTCTCCCTCTCCTGCTTACTCTGCTTGTGTTCTCTCTCTCTCTCTCACTGTGTCCTGTGTCTCTCTGTCAAATGAATAAATACAATCTTAAAAAAAAAAGTTCTTAAGGATTATTTTCATTAAGCTGCGAAATACACTTTTTGACTCTAGATGTATTTCCATGGGTATAATTGAAGAGTTTTCTTCGCTGGACACTTTGGTGATTCATATACATTATTACTTTCCAGGCCTTTCTAGATTCCATGATTGTCATCACCTTTATCTTTTTTTTTTAATTGAAGTATAATCTTTTTTTCCTTATATAATTTTCCCTTAAATTATAAAAGTACATTCCTGTATCATTTAAAATTTGGAATTGCAGATTTGGAAATACAGGAAAATTTTCTAAACTGTTTTAGCACTTCTCATTATGTCTGGCATAAATTTAGAAGTATAAACTTAAGAGTTTGTAGCTTATTTTTCATCTTAGGTTGGATGCTTAAGATGATCTTGTTGCCATTAGCAGTATTTTCTAGTAACATTTTCAAATACTGTCACACTTATTTAATTGTGGGATTTTTTTGGGGGGGGGGTCAGGCATTTAATGACTTTCCAGTCTGTTTTCACCTTTCCTCATTTTCTCACTTTCACTTTGGCATCTGCCTTTTTTTTTAAAGGAAGAGGAGGAATAGGTTTTAGACATTTAGTTTAGAAAACTATATTTGAATAGTCTCCTATAAATCTTATTATATGTCCGTAGTTTTAGTTACTAATGACAAGAAGTCATTCAAAGAATTTTGTGACCATGGTGGCATTTCAGTTAACTGACATTTATGTCTGGTTTAAATTTTTGAAGAGCAATGTAAATGAAACCTGGAAGCTTTAGTCATGGTGGAAAGAAAGTTGTCAAAGAAGATGATACAGTTTCAAATCACAAGGATTTATAGAATCTCTTAAGTTTGTCATTGTCTAGTCTGTTAATGGTATAGGTTAAGACTAATCCCCTTTTCTCTTCTCAATTTTACAGAGTTAATTGAGAGTTGGAGGCAACCTTGCTGAAGATGAAGAATATACAGTATTAGAGGAGGAGATTTTTTTTCTTTTTTCTTTCAAAAGTCTTGGTTGCTTGGCGGCTTACATCTAGTCACCACCCTTCAGTTGAGTGTCTTTACTTCATCAGAAATGATTTTTACAATCTCAAGAAAAACCATGTCCCAGAAATTGAGTTTACTGTTGCTTGTATTTGGACTCATTTGGGGATTGATGTTACTGCACTATACTTTTCAACAACCAAGACATCAAAGCAGTGTCAAGTTACGTGAACAAATACTAGACTTAAGCAAAAGATATGTTAAAGCTCTAGCAGAGGAAAATAAGAACTCGGATGTTGAGAATGGCGCTTCTATGGCAGGATATGGTAAGATAACCATAGACTCGTCCTCGTTTTCTCCTCTTCAACCTATCCCCATTTCAAGATAGTTATGGAAGGAAATCCAACTCGTTACTTCATGTATAGGTCTTTCCATGGCAAATTTTTTGGGCGCCTAGGTGGCTCAGATGGTTAAGCGTCTGCCTTTGGGTCAGGTCATGATCCTGGGGTCCTGGGTTCGAGTCCCGCATCGGGCTCCCTGCTCCTTGGGAGCCTGCTTCTCCCTCTGCTTCTCTCTCTCTCTCTCTCTCTCTCTCTCTCCTCCTCCTCTGTCTCTCATGAATAAATAAATAAAATCTTTAAAAAAAAAAATGAAAAATTTCAAATGTACTGAAAAACAGAAACAGTATGATAAATACCCATATATCTGTTGCCTAGATTTAACAATTGTTAAAAATTGTTAAAAATTTTGTTTTGTCTAATTTTTGAAGACCAGTTAAATTGTAGAAATTGTGACATTTCACTGCTAGATATTTCCATACGTATCTCTAAACAAATGACGTTTTTATACACAATTATAATTGCATTATAATAAGACCTAGTTCATATTTACATTTATCTGATTGTGCCGATGTATACCATCAATTATATAACATCTATCAATTCCTAAGAAGCAGCATTTGCCTATATCTCCAATATTGTTTATTGCTATTCTCCCTTTCACATCATGGGTTCCTGCTGTGGTTTTGTTTGTTTGTTTTTGTTTTTTTACTTTTTTAGATTTTATTTATTTGAGAGAGAGAGAGAGAGAAAGCATGCATGAGCGGGGGTGGGGTGGGGGGAGGGGCGAAGGGAGAGGGAGAAGCAGACTCCCCGCTGAGCAGGGACTCTGACACAGGACTTGATCCCAGGACCCTGAGCCGAAGGCAGATGCTTAACCAAGTGAGCCACCCAGGCACCCCTTCCTGCTGTGTTTTAAGTTCTGTATGCATGCCATGTTCTCTCTTGCCTTCAAGACTTGAAAGAAAGGACAGGTAGAACACTTCGTACATGAGTGTGTGGGCATTTTCTCTATTTCACTGTTTTGGTTTTTTTTAAGTTATACATGTATTTAAAGAATCAAAATGTGTTATGAGTCTGATAATAGAAAAGGGCAGTTCTTCCCACCTGCAACAGTCCTTAAATTTCCCATTCCTTAAAGCCAGCCATTTAAAATTATTTAATCTGATTTACTTGGTGATTACCTCTATATCTCTAAATAATATGCTCTATGAGCTTCTTCTTGATTTTTCAATTATAGGAGTTATCTGTTAACTTCCCACGGTGCAGGGTGAAGGTTCAGCTTTCTTTTTTACCCAAAATTGCATCCCACCCACCCCAGGCTGATTTCACACACACACGTCCTTCTAGTCCTGCCGCTTTCCCAATATAATTTTGTTAGAACAGTATGCAGTGTTTGTGTTGTTATGACTGTGTTAAGGGTATTCATTACTGAGCCTTGTAGTACATTATTACTTTTCCTTTCATGTACAACTTTATTTTCCCCTCTAGAATTAGTAAATACTGATTTTTGATTCTTTGCCTAGTTTCCTACCCTAACTCCCCACAGTTGTTCAAGTCTCCTCCCAGTATATTCAGACACATTAGCTATTTCATCACATTCTTTATCTTGAAATCTTTCCTAGAGCCTTCTGATCTGCTGTGGTTTGGACTATTTCTTCTCTAGAAGATGAATTATTTGGGATCTTACTCCACAGTCATCCTGGAACTCCCTTTACCTCTCTTCTTTTGGATCTCCCATCCCCTAGAATCCTGTAGCTTCCTCTTTATTGGTGACTCCCACATTTTAGGGGAACAGATCCTTGTAGTTTCCTCAGAAAGGTATAAGAGAGGTCAAAGTTTTGACTCCCGGCATATCTGAAAAGATCTTTTTATTCCCCCTACCCTCATGCTCAATTGAGAATTTGACTGAGTATAGAATCCTAGTTTGTAAATAGTTTTCGTTAGATTTTTAAAGGCTTTTTTTCTTTTTTTTCCCCTCCTTGGCTTCCAGTGTTCTTTTTGAGAATCTAATGCTGTTCTGATTCTTTATTCTTTATATGTGACTTATTTTTTGGAACTTTGTGAGATCTTTGTCCCATAGTACTGTTCTGAAGCTTTTCAAAATGATGTTTCTGGGTATGGATTTCATTCATACATGTGCTGGGATCTCAGTGGGCACTTTATTTTCCCCCAAATTTTAAAACCATTTCTATACTAGTACCTATGATATTTAAGAGATGTAACATTCATGACTCAGGATGATGATCATGCTCTGATGTGCCCTCCTTAATGCCCATCACCCAGTTACCCCATCCCCCCCACCCAACTCCCCTCCAGCAACCCTCAGTTTGTTTCCTGTGATTTTTTTTTTTAAAGATTTTATTTATTTATTTGACAGAGAGAGACATAGTGAGATAGGGAACACAAGCAGGGGGAGTGGGAGAGGGAGAAGCAGGCCTCCCGCCGAGCAGGGAGCCCGATGCAGGGCTCGATCCCAGGACCCTGGGATCATGACCTGAGCTGAAGGCAGACGCTTAACGACTGAGCCACCCAGGCACCCCTGTTTCCTGTGATTAAGAGTCTCTTACGGTTTGTCTCCCTCTCTGATTTTGTCTCGATTTATTTTTCCCTCCCTTCCGCTATGATCCTTTGTTTTCTTTCTTAAATTTCACATATAAGTGAGATCATATGAGAATTGTCTTTCTCTGACTTATTTTGCTTAGCATAATACCCTCTAGTTCCATCCACGTCATTGCAAATGGCAAGATTTCATTTTTTGATGGCTGAGTAATACTCCATTGTATATATATACCACATCTTCTTTATCCATTCATCTGTCGATGGACATCTTGGCTCTTTCCATAGTATGGCTATTGTGGACATTGCTGCTATAAACACTAGGGTGCTTGTAGCCCTTCAGATCACTACATTTATATCTTTGGGGTAAATACCCAGTAATGCAATTGCTGGGTCGTATGGTAGCTCTATTTTCAACTTTTTGAGGAACCTTCATACTGTTTTCCAGAGTGGCTGTACCAGCTTGCATTCCCACCAACAGTGTAGGAGGGTTCCCCTTTCTCCGCATCCCTGCCAGCATCTGTCATTTCCTGACTTGTTAATTTTAGCCATTCTGACTGGTGTGAAGTGATATTTCATTGTGGTTTTGATTTGTATTTCCCTGATGCCTAGTGATGTTGAACATTTTTTCATGTGTCTGTTGGCCATTTGTATGTCTTTGGAGAAATGTCTGTTCAGTGTCTTCAGCCCATTTCTTGATTGGATTATTTGTTTTTTGGGTGTTGAGTTTGATAAGTTCTTTATAGATTTTGGCTACTAGCCTTTTTTCTGATAAGACATTTGCAAATATCTTCTCTCATTCTGTCAGTTGTCTTGGTTTTGTCGACTGTTTCCTTTGCTCTGCAAAAGCTTTTTATCTTGAGAAAGTCCAAATAGTTGATTTGTGCTTTTGTTTCCCTTGCATTAGCCTTTGAAGATACATCTTCAAAGTGTATCTTAAGAAGTTGCTGATGCTGAGGTCACAGAGGTTGCTGCCTGTGTTCTCTAGGATTTTGATGGATTCCTGTCTCACATTTAGGTCTTTAATCCTTTTTGGCTCTGTTTTTGTGTGTGGTGTAAGAAAATGGTCCAGTTTTCATTCAGCATGTGGCTGTCCAATTTTCCCAACACCATTTGTTGAAGAGACTGTCTTTTTTTCCGTTGGATATTCTTTCCTGTTTTGTTGAAGGTTATTTGACCATAGAGTTGAAGGTCCATTTCTGGGTTCTCTGTTCTGTTCCGTTGGTCTATGTGTCTGTTTTTGTGCCAGTACCATACTGTATTGATGATTACAGCTTTTTCTTTTTTTTTTTTTTAAGATTTTATTTATTTTATTGAGGGAGGGGGGAGAGAGAGAGAGAGCAAGTGAGCACACGCACAAGTTGTGGGGAGGGGCAAAGGGAGAGGGAGAAGCAGACTCCCCGCTGAGCGGGGACCCCAGCCACGCCATGCAGGGCTTGATCCCTGGACTCTGGGATCAGGACATGAGCCAAAGGCAGATGCTTAACTGACTGAACCATATAGGCGCCCCTGATTACAGCTTTGTAATATAGTTTGAAGTCCAGGGTTGTGATGCCACCAGCTTTGGTTTTCTTTTTCAACATTCCTTTGGCTATTCAGGGTCTTTTCTGGTTCCATATGAATTTTAGGATTATTTGTTCCATTTGTTTGAAAAAAGTTGATGGTATTTTGATAGGGATTGCATTGAAAGTATAGATTGCTCTAGGTAGCATAGACATTTTAACAATATTTGTTCTTCCAATCTGTGAGGATGGAACGTTTTCCCGTTTCTTGGTGCCTTCCTCAATTTCATGAGTGTTCTATAGTTTTCTGAGTACAGATCCTTTGCCTCTTATTCCTAGATATGTTATAGTTTTGGGGGACAGTTGTAAATGGGATCGACTCCTTAATTTCTCCTTTTTGTGTCTCATTGTTAGTGTATAGAAATGCAACTGATTTTTGTCCATTGATTATGTATCCTGCCACTTTGCTGAATTTCTGTATGAGTTCTAGCAATTTTGGGGTGGTCTTTTGGGTTTTCCACATAGAGTATCATGTCATCTGCAAAGAGTGAGAGTTTGACTTCTTTTGTGCGGATTCAGATGCCTTTTATTCTTTTTGTTGTCTGATTGCTGGGGCTAGGACTTCTAGTACTTTGTTGAACAGCAGTGATGATAGTGAACATCGCTACTGTGTTCCTGACCTTAGGGGAAAAGCTCTCAGTTTTTCCCCATTGAGAATGATATTTGCTGTGGGCTTTTTGTCAATGGCTTTTATGATATTGAGGTATGTTCCCTCTATCCCTACACTGTGAAAAATTTTAATCAAGAAAGGATGCTGTACTTTGTCAGATGCTTTTTCTGCATCTATTGAGAGGATCATATGGTTCTTGTCCTTTCTTTTATTTATGTTGTGTATCACATTGATTGATTTCCAGATGTTGAACCAAC